CACCCCATTGTGTGAAGATTACCATTTAAATTAACAATTGAGAGCCATGTGCAATAATTTGAGCTCAGTGCGAAACACAAGTGCCTTTAAACAAGTGCCACCATACATGCCTTAATTATAAATGTTTAATATAACTTGTGAATATATATATTATATATAGATGTACTACATGGACAAGGCTAAATATACTAGTATTCTCTTCATGAATCCACAGGGATAGATAGATACATTGATAGATATAAACACACACACAGAAATGCATTCAAGAATATGAATATTGCCCAAAGTAAAGAAGAAAAAATTACCACCGCCAGGAACAAACTCCTTCATAGTAATAGTGCATAACCCAACACAGGCCTTCTGTGTACTTCAAAACCTATGCGATAGAAATTGAAGCTTTTATTAGCCCACTATTACTTCAAATGTAACTTTGGCATGCTTCAAATACAAGATTTAGAAAACAAGCTGCACAATCATACAAAAGAAAATCTGCATCACAAATCAAAATCCCTCGTACAGATGTTATCACTAGCCTCTGCCACTGTCAAAGTCGAGTTTTGTTGGGGAAGATGACTATATTTACTAGGGGAGAACATGCTTATATTGGTGGATATCCATACATGATACAATTTCCATGCTCAAAAATTAGTTCATGTATGAAATATTATTTCATGATTCAGCTTGAAATACATTTATTTGGTACCTCCAGACTAATTCCAGCAATTGGAGAGATCCCTTCAGTTGAAAGAAATGAACCATGAAGGGAACTAGACAAATGTTCCTTTCTCAAGAATACAGATAAGGTAGACAATTGTTTAGACATCAGAATGTGGCGGCATCAATGGTGATGGCGATGAAGTGGAAGTAAAGAAGGCTGTGGAAGTGACAGTGGCACTTGAAAAGTGGTGATAGCAATTCAGGTATATACGCCTTTGAGTTAGGTATGAGATCTTCAAATTTCACTCAACTAGGATAGACGATAGAATGAGATCTGCAATTCATTGTCTCGTATCTAGAAGCAATCCTCCTTAATAGAGTTACAGAATAAAAATTAGACAACTCATTCTCCAAGAATGCGCCATACTGCACTTCCTAACTTATTTGAACTTGCAAAAAATGCAATATTGACCAAAATCAAATGAACATAAACCACGAACTAGTGATATTAGTACTTTTACCTTGTTAGTTCTTCTTCTTGTTCTTATTCTTCTTCTCTTTCTTTGAAAGGTGAACCTATATTTAATAAGAGCAAGTATTGTAATTAATAAGATATGTTATTTGTCAAAAAAGCTTTGAATAAATGATTGCTCACCTCTTGGGATGAAAATACATGAAATTGTTGTTGATGTGACATTGGCCGAACAGTGGGATGACTACTAAATGAATCCACAACCTATCATTCAATAAGAAGCTTAAGTTTTATATTAGCTCTAGGCAATTTAAAGTAATAACTAGTAAAAATAATTAAAATACCTGCTGCCTATGTAATGGGTTTGATGGTGCAACAACTGGATCAACGGGCACGCCTACAGCTTGCAATTGAGATTCCAAAAACTGAATTCGTGACTGAAAATCTGTGCATATAGCCTGAATTTGTTTCTCCACTACTTCATTCATCTTCGACTCGAACTGCATTTGATACCGTTGAAGTTGCTCTTGAACTTGTTCCTGAACTTGAGTTTGGAAGAGACGATTCTGCTCTTGTGACCGCTTATATCCACCTCCAAAAACATTAGTGGGTGACGGCCCCAATCCAAATGTCTGAACACGGCCAGGTCGCTCTGGGCCCATAACTTGTGTGAAGATTTGCTCCTGTAATGCTGCAGGGTCAGTAGAAGATCCCTCCATGTGCTTTGTTAACTCATTCATTTGGGTCTGCAAGTTTGAATTCAATAATTAGCCTTCAATATAAATATAAATCAAATTTCAAAGATAAAGTAGTATCACATACCATAACCTCATTAACTGAATCACTATTTGACGTCCCATCTTTCATGTATGCGGCCATCCACACCTGTGACCGACTAGCAGGAACCCCATTGTTCTTTTTTGTCTCCTATAAATGAAAGACAACCAAAATCTTAAAATTGTATTGGTTGATTAGGCAAATTGCCAAAATCCAAGGACCGCGGCAATTTCATTATGAATCTGTCATAATTAACAGGGAAAGAAATAAGAAAAGTAGAGACAGAGAGAGATTACTCCCAGATCCAAAATTAATTGGTTTCAAAGTCACCAGTATGCCTAGTTCAAAAAAACAAAAAAAAAAAGAAGTCACCAGTAAGCTTTCAATCTCCCCTTCAAAATCTTTCTCCCTCAATTTTTGGATGTGATAAAAAATTAACAAACTTTGAGACATGTAAGCAAACTTTGAGAGAATAATTATACCTCTAGTCGAACTACTGAGAAAGGCTTTCGGCCTGTTCTGTGATGTAATGTCTTCTTCTTCCCGATTTTTCTATTCTTCTTGTTTGATTTCTGTCAAATATGAAATTTATTTAAGATGTTATAAAAATTATCATATATAAACATTTTTTCACATAAATAAAATTTTACCAATGCACTCTGAGTGCCCCAATAGCAGACCAAAGCCCGCCACTGAACCTGATGTACTCTATCTGGTCGATGAGCCAACCGTTCTGCATCATTCTTGAAGGGTTTGTATCCCATTGTTTTCACTCGACTTTTCCAATCTCTCCATTTCTTTCCAAATGAAAACATTATTGTTCTCTTCATGGATTCATCTGAATCCGTATGAGCCTGCATTACAATTATATACACTTGTAATATGCAATGTCAACTACACTTGTAATATGCATTTCATATGGAATACAATTGTAACTTATTTCATATTAAATATCCATATATACCTTTATCTCCCTCCATATGTTATCTTTGTTTTGTTTTGGAACATAATGCCAAGTGGTAAAAGTGAGTGGTGCAAGACTCCCATCTCGTGCCAAAACGCCCAAATGTAAAGCAAGGGATGTGTGTCCTTCAACTACTTGATTCAACTCATTTGGAACAACTTTTAAAATGCCATCTTCACTAGTACCCCATTGACCATGCACATATGTGGGACCTCTTGTCTGCTTTTGTGTGGCTTAACTTGAGCTAGGACCTACAAAACACAGATACATGGCATGCCACAATCAGTAAATGTTTACCATTGCTAGCGAGTTAGAAATCACGCTGCAGCGTGTGTCAAAGAAGCATATTATCAGCACACCTCAGTTAAAGAATGGTTGCTGTTAGGACCCATTAAAGAATGGTTGTAGTTAGGGCCCTACCAAATTTTGAGTGTAATATGTGTGAAATGTGTTTGATTTGGAATTTTAAACTTTTTTTAAGGTTTTGCTATTGTGAGTGTATTTTTTTTTTTTTTGTTTGAACATGATATAAATAGAGCTGGGCTCACAAGAAACCAACAAACTGTTATGCACAAATTGAAAAAAAAATATGGCTTCTAAGGCCTTGTGTCCTCCTTTACCAATATGCTTGGTCATTTTTGAATTAGAAGTACCATTAAATAAAAAGAGCAAAAATGGGGATTGTTTATCCTCCCATGTTTTGCTGCTAGAATAGTAATGGTGGGGTCAAGAATAGTCTAGGCTAATAAGGGGAGTAAATGGCAGGATAATAAGTGTAAGTGATTTCATGTTTTTTCTAGCTTCTTTTGGGTGCTTGTGTTATTTTATTTTTTGTTCTTTAGATTGTGTCCATGTTCTGGCTTTGTTAATTTGCAGTGTTTTCCCCATAATCTAAAATGTCCAGTGGAATGAATGTAGGATAGAGATCCTTCTACTTTGTTCATGCTGAACAGATGCATAGGTTTAACTGATAGTGGAAACGGTCTCTTTACCAAGAACTTGAACTTGAACCTAGTCAAACTCCACAATAAGACTAGCATAAAAATCGGCTAACTTATGTAACTTGGCAGCATCGGATGGGCAATTAGTGTGGAAATCCTGATAATAATCCAACTCCTGCTAAAGACTATTGTGCTCTGCATAATATAGGGCTACTGTCAAGAAGTAAAAAAAAACAAAAACAAAAAGTAAAAAATGTCATCTTATCGTTCTTGTCGTTTGGGTGTCTAGAATACTCCTTATAAATATTCTTTAACCACTGTTTCTTTAACCACTGCTTCATGGTATCTTTGTTTGGTCTGCAGATGATTCTATGTTTAAAGGGTTTCGGTACGAGAAGCAATCACAGACATTGTTAGCATCAAACCATTAGTATTTTCACCTTTTGAATGTGTGTGGTGTGTGGTCTATTAAGTTACATATGTATGAGAATGCTTGTTGTTCTATAGGTTTGATGTAAGCAAAAGTCTGTAATTCTCTGTTGTACTACTACTATTTTATACATAAATCTGTTTTTGCAATTTGTACACTGTTTCAATGAACAAGCTTTTATCCATGGAGGTCAGTTTTTAGGCAGCCCTATCATAGGAGGTGGGCAGGGTAAGGTTTAGGTTGCAAGAGGTGAAGATGAGAAAAGTTAAAATAGAACAAACATACAAGCATATAAGTGTATATCCACCAGCAAAGGACTTTCATTATTACAGTGAGCCGATTCTCTCAACAACCATGATGAACAGAAGCTCTCAAGTAATTTTCATGAACATGTTTTCATGCAAGTGGGGCAAGAAAAAGTAATTTTCCAAACTTAAGAACAGTGCTATGCTTACTTCATTATAACCAAACAAAAAGTAATTTTCAAAACTTACTTCTCATATCAAGAAGTAAAACAAAAAAACAAAAAAACACGCACGCACAAGCAAGAGATGGCTACATAGATGTATGTAGTCATGACATCACCAATAAATTCTCTCAACACCATTTGCTACGGTATAGATAAGTCCATCTACTGGTGGCTCTTTTGTTTCTCCTGTGATATATCCAGTTAGGCCTCAAGTAGAAATCAATAAAGCACAAGACCATGACCAAGTGAAGTAGTTGCTAAGCATCCAGCTTAAATGCTTAGGCTCAAGGCACAGTGAGACACAAGTGAGAGGCTATAAAAAGGTACATATTTACATAAAAATATGTTAAGTAGGAAGAGTCTTTTGGAATTGTTAAACCAAAATTCCATTAATACAATTATTTCAAGTGATATGGTTTTGACTTAAATGGTGACTGAGATTTTACTTAGTGTTGTCTTCTTACATGATACAAGTATTTGATAGAGACCTTTTGTGGGTTTAATAGTGCATTGTTTTTTTATTTATTTTCGTTTGTTTCTTTCATCTTTTATAATTTTCTAGCAATTTGATATTCAAGTAAGTAAATAGGTGGTTTAAAAGTATTGGAGTTCCGGCTTAGTCAATAATTAGTAATATTATGTCACTAACACATCTAAGCAGTCAACCAGTGTCAATTTTTTAGCTAAACCATTGCTAAACCATTGTCTGGTCAAAAATTAACAAGTGTCATATTTATTAGCTATAGTTTTCTCTTAATATGGAGTAAAAAAGGCTCAAATAATGCAGTCAAGTGAACCAACAAGCTGCCTGCTTATACCTACCATCACCATATGCAGCAAAAGCAAGAACTTGTTTGGAAGTTGTTCAATGAGATGTGCAAATGAGTCTTACCTTTTCTATCCATCTTTACAGATAGCCAAATGCTGGTGGATCCTCTTGGAGGGCATCTTAAGCCTGACTGGATGATGGGCGCACAGTCATTATTGTTGACTGTGTTAGTGACATAATAATTTTAAGAAAATAATTTTTAAAGATATATTTTAAGAATTATTGTTGTCAAACTAATTAAATTTATTTGAGAAAAAAAATTAAAAAGAGATTCTCAAAATTCTACTAAACCGGGTGAATTACATTTCTATTCTATTCCTAATCATAACCCAACAGAGCACCAAATTGAGACATCTCCACAAAGTGCACAAGAGAGGGCTAAAAATTAGAGATGAAGCAAATGCAAAGCCTCTGGACTTACATGGGGTATTATTGAATTTGACAATGTTCACTTCAAGATTTTTATTCATCTGAGCAAAAACAAATTTTGATGCTGTTTGAGCATTGCGATTCAACAAATTGCATGTGTACAGTGCGGATATTATATATAACTAGAAGTAGGCACATATTGCGATAGTTATCTAAAAGATTTGGATTTGAAACAATCAAATTTGATAATGACCATTTTTTGAAGTAGTTGGATAATAGTTACATGAAAAGGTATTTTAAGAAGGAAAAAAAAAACACCTATGGCATCCACACTAACTCAAGAGTGATCTAAACTTGCGACCATTTCACTCATAAGATCATACCAAGGGTACACTAATTCATCATTCATGCAACTATAGTTACCTGCTCAAGTGGAAAATATCAAGCAAAGTTCATACATACCAGCTGAAACAGAGCCATGTGATGTACTACCGCTACGTGATGTGGTAAGAAGACTGCCTAGTGGATGCCATGATGCCGGTGGATCGGGTATGACTTTCGTCTTGAGTGTGGTCTGAGTCTCATCTGAACTAGAACTACTAGAGCTTGATTGCTCACTTTCACCAGAAGAATGGTCAGAGCTAGAACTCATAGATAATATCTATAAAAAAACTACAAACATAAGAGTAAGGACATAATAATCTATAAATATCTACTGCATTCAAAACAAAATAAGAGTACATGAAAGGTAAAAATAGCCACAAAGGTACAAAAGCAAAGATTTTATTAACTTTTATTACAAGTTGGTTAAAAGGCCCCAACAAAATGAGGGACAACCATGTACACACGATGTAAAAGAGGTATATGTAATTAGAAGCATTGTTCCTTCTCTATTTTTTGCAAAGATTGGTCACCAAATCCTTCCACTTCGTTGTGATGTAGTCCTTCATCAATAGTTGGTTGTTCTCCACACACCTCATACAAGTCTCTAGGTTTCATGTTGAGTACAACATTCCAATCTTCATCAACAAAATCACTAACATAAAAGACTTGTTGTGCTTGAGATGCTAGGATGAATGGCTCATCACTATCTTGTTTCTTCGCATATAACAAGTGATTGAAATTAACAAGTGTAAAACCAAAATCATCTTGCATGAGTCCCTTATTGTTATCAATCCAGTTGCACATGAATAGCATGTATCTATGGTCATGTGAGTAATACAATTCAAGAATATCTGTCACATATCCATAGTACGCTACATCACCTTCCATTGGATTAATGTCTTTCGCACTTGCATAGCTAGAAGTCTTTGCCTTCACCATAACCCCACTATTCTGAGTTTTTCTTCTCAACTCACAACTCTTAGTATGATACCTAGTACCATTAATTATATACCCATTAAATCTGGTGGCCTTTTGGCTGGGTCCCAAAGCCAAAATTTTAATCTTTTCTGACAACGCTACATTTTCAATAGCTAGTAGCTCAACAACCTATTTTTAAAAGAAAGTTATCAATATTAAACATCAATTAACAACTTTCAAAAATATAGAAGCACATGGATTGCAAAAATATAGAAGACTTGTGCTTAACATGCACTTACATGAGAATTGAACCATTTGGGAAACTCATCATTCTGACGATGATCCACATCATAATCTCTGAAACAACGATGTGACCGCTTAATAAATTGACGATGTTTCCTACACAATTAAACTACTTGTAAAATGCACGATAATTATAGTTGGCATAAATACATTCACAATGAGACAAAGGTTGCATCTATCTTACTCTCGATATGGGACAACCGCAGTAATGTTAAATAACATATACCGATGAGCCTGTACCCATGTTGTGTTATCAAGAACAAACCCTTTTCCTTTTCCTAAAGCCCGCCCCATTAATATCTCAGGATTGTCACTAACATCGCAATTCCTTAACGATCGATGCAATTTCGACTCAACATCATGCAAGTACCTTAAGCAAAATGTCATACATTCTTCGACCAAGTATCCCTGTGCAATTGAACCTTCAGGATGACTTCGATTACGCATGTATGATTTAAGCGTCATAAGGTACCTATAAACAAAAAGATGCATACATGACTTCCAAGTATAAACAATCAAATATATACAAAATGGACATTGGAGTAGAATTACACACCTTTCTACAAAGTACATCCATCGATATTGCACCAGACCGGCAATCTTTGCTTCCTCTGCTAGGTGAATGGGTAAGTGCTCCATTATATCAAAAAATAATGGAGGAAAAATTCTCTCAAGATGGCAAAGTGTAAGAGCGATTTGGGACTGAAGACGACTTAGACCATCCACGTCTAGGGTTTTGAAACACAACTGCCTGAAGAAATTGCTTAACTCAATTAATGGTTCAACCACTTTCTTCGGTAACAAATTTCTCACTGCTATTGGAAGTATTTGTTGCATGAGTGTATGGTTATCATGACTTTTCAGTCCAGATATGCTACGCTGTTTGAGGTTAACTCGATGAGAAATATTGGATGCGTAACCATCTGGAACTTTGATATTCTTTAGAAGTGTGCAGAATAGACTTTTCTCTCTATTGTTCATGGAAAAACATGCAGGAGGCAAATAATACTTGTTCCCAACCCTTTTCTGAGGATGTAGTGCCTTCCGAATTCCCATATCTTGCAAATCTCGACGAGTATTTAAATTGTCCTTCCCTTTCCCATCAACATTTAATATCGTCCACAATACATTATCACACACATTCTTTTCAACGTGCATCACATCAAGATTGTGGCGAATCAAATTATGCTCCTAATATGATAGCTCAAAGAAAATACTCTTCTTCTTCCAATTATGACCCGAGTCCTCATTTTCCTCATTTTTTCCCCCTTTCTATTCCGTTTGCTAGATTGTTGATGCTTAGAATTCAATTTGAACTTAGGGCCTAGTTGTTGTAGCACATTAGCCCCTGATAACCGAGTTGGACATGGTTCGAATTCACGAGTGCCATCAAAAGACGCACTAGCTTTCCGAAATTTGTGACCCCCGTTCAACTAGCGACGATGCCCCATGTAACATAATTTCCTTCCGTTCTTCAAATATCGAGAACGAGTATGTGTGTTACAACAAGGACAAGCTAAAGCGCCTTTCGTGCTCCATCCAGACAAAATTGCATAGGCAGGAAAATCGTTTATAGTCCACAATAACACAGCATGCATTCGGAACATCTGATTAGTTTCCGCCTCATACGTGTCAACACCGTTTTCCCACAGTTCTTTCAATTCATCCACTACAAGGCGTAAGTAGACGTCAATATTATTTCCAGTTGAAGAAGGACCATCGATAAGCAATGTCATCATCATATGAGGCTGCTTCATACACAACCATGGTGGCAAATTGTATGGCATTATAATAACTGTCCAACTACTATGAGAGACATTCATTGCCTTGAATGGATTGAATCCATCCGCTGCTAAACCCAGTCTGACATTGCGAGGCTCACTCGCAAACTTGGGGTACAAATTATCAAAAATTTTCCAAACTGGAGAGTCAGCGGGATGTCTCATTTTGCCATCATCAATTCGGCCCTCTGCATGCCATCTCATTAAAGAAGATGTTTTGGATGACTTAAACAATCTTTGAAGCCTTGGAATCAATGGAAAGTATCTAACAATCTTATGTGGAATTCTTTGTTGCTTCTTCTTAACATCATTCTCCTCCCCCTCGAACTGTTTGTATCTAGGCATATGACACACTATGCAATCATCCATACTAGTTGTTTCCTTCCAATATAGTTAACAATCCCTTGGGCATGCATGTACCTTATGATAATCGAGGCCCAAGTCCCTAAAAAGTTTCCTAGTTGCATAAAATGACTTCGGCAAAGTTTCACCCTTTGGGAACGAATCCTTCAAAAGCTTGAGCAACATCGTGAAAGACTTGTCACTCCATCCACTAAGGCACTTGATGTGCAATAACCGAACAATAAATGAAAGCGTTGAAAACTTCTGACACTCAGGATACAACTCTCTTTCGGCCTCTTTCAATAAATTGAAGAATTTTTCAATTTTCTCATCTGGACCTTGTTTAATACCAGAACTTGCTGCCTCGTGAATAAAGCTTGGTGGAGGAAGTCCAAATCCTTCGTATAGCATTTCATACGTTTCATCACCATTGTTCGAATCAGTTTGCCCGACATTCACATTTTGTGGCATAGGCGATGACAAATTCTCCCCATGAAAAATCCAACTGGTGTAACTTGGAAGAAACCCGTTGATCATTAAATGTTCCCCTAACAGGCCCTTCTCCACCAATTTGACATTACGACACCGTTTACATGGGCATGTGACTTCATTCAACAACGGCTTATTTTCGCATGCAAATTTAATAAATTCCTTAACCCCTTGTATGTATTCCGGGTGCAACCTATGTTGATTTATCCAACTTTTATCCATCTGATTCTCTCTTACACTACAAATGTCACTGTCAAATCAACAAAGTTCAAAATTACCATTCCATTTTAATTAATCTTAACCTCAATTAAGTACCTTATAATGCATGCAATATGACATCATTCACCTCTAACTGGTCTCTAATATGTTGGTTCATCCTACTTTCCCATTCAGGAATGCACAGTCTATATTGTAAAAAGCAGTTCATACCGCTCTGCTCATCTCTAACGAAATTTCGGCAGCATCTCCCCATGGTTCTCCAAATACACGACATAGACTAGGTGTACTGTTGCACCCTGTCTAGTGTGCACTCGGAGAACACAAGGAGTTGCTACACGAAATCTCTACGAGATGGACTATAAGCAGTAGAACTACTAATTACAATACAGACTTGTGCTCCTGAACTGTCCAACTAGACAATCCAAGAAGAGCTTCATCAAAGATGACTAGGTATCTCTAATGAAGATTCTTGGACGGGTCTAAGGCTATTTATGCATGCATGCACCATTAATGATTGCATCCCGGTGGTGCAATCTAAATTAGTACTATCAAGCATACTAGAAACATATCTAGTATGAAGCACATTAATGAAGAAACCAAAAGTTTCTACAATGCTCTTGATAGATTATGATAGATTCAAGAAATACATTGCTCTCTCAAATCAATCAATAATAGAATAATTTTGGCAGGAACTCATGAATGTGGGAAGTTCAAACCCACTACCCAAACCAATAAGTGTACCAAAGCTCGAATACTTCTAATGATGAAGATGATGATGATGATGATTCAAATAACACCAAAGAGCAACCACCAAATCAGGAATCACATTCACAATCACAATCAAGACAAAGTTACATGCAAGACAATTCTTTCACATGCTAGCTAGACGATTAGTTATTTATTTATTTATTTTGGGTGAAATAACCCTCCAAATGAAGTTAATTGTGTCCTGCACTCTCTCAAATTATATTTTATACATAATTATATACATATTTGGAAGAAATGGTTTAATCATGTAGCACAAACATCAAATTATTTTTTTAATATGATGGGTCCAAGGTCATGATGAAAGATAACGTAAAAAGGACTAATGGTCCAAAAAAAATACTAAAAAAAAGGATGGGTCCAGTGATTACTAAATTGGAGAGATACACCTATTCCAATGATTATCGATTTCTAGTACTAATAATGAGAAAAATATTTTATTTTTATTTTTATTTGCTATAACATAAATTGCCTTTTAATAAATGCATCTATAAAGGTAACATGGGCGAAACCTATTCGAAACATCTATGGTTTGCTTTGTGATTCATGTATATTCTAAAGCATGTAAATTAAATAATAAAAAGAAAAGAAAAACACAAAAAGAAAAAGAAAAGAGGTAACTAAAAAGATTGTCCATTTACTATTAAAACTATACCTAATTTTTTAAATGGAGTACTTCGGAGTTGACAGCTTAGGTCATTGTTTACCAATGGCTGACATATTTTGGCTTGGGATCCTCAATCTTCAATCTCACCCTTGTATTACTGTTACATTACCGTAATTTGAATTAGGGGGAAAAAAATCATTAAATGCGTCTTAATAATTTAAAAAATAAATAAATTGCATTAGATTCAAATTACGGTGACATAGCAACTCTAAAAGGTTGAGACACAGGATGTAAACAGAGAAAGGACACAAAAGATCTAAAACTATCTATTTTAGTTAATTAAGAATGATGACGAAACCATCTATTAAAAAAAAAAGGAATGACGACGAAAAATATTTTGGTCAAAATGTTAGTGATCAAGACAAAACAAAAATAGTTATCTCATTGAATTGACAATATTTTCTTTTTCCAAGTTTACGAGCACATAAAGAGAACTGAAACATATATCACTAGTCACTCCTTATAGAATGTCATATGATGGTCAAAGCGTGTTGAAGAGATCATACACAGAGGTGTTCTCCAGTCCCCACAAGTACAACAATGGAGGTAGAGTTTGGAGGGTGAAGCTGGTTATCAGTCCAGGACAGTTACTGGAGATACTGTCACAGGAGACTCGAACACAAGAATTGATTGAAAGTGTAAGAACTGTTGCCAAATGCAGAAATATTGGGGTTTCGTCTCTGGGATTTTCGGATCAGTGGAGTCTTTCCAGCAGCAGCTAGAATGCTTCCTCCAAGCAAGATGGTTTATTGGAGATTTAGACATACATATCCTGACCCCCCCACATGATTTTAAGTTTGAGTTTTTTTTTTTTTCAAAGTTATAGTTCGTTGATGGACAAAAACAAATACATCAAGAGTGATTATCTCTATTTTCTAGAAGAAAATATAACCAAGATTCAGTGTTCCAAATACGAACATTCGAACAACCAACATATTGTTTCCATCAATTAACAACCATAACCTGTAACATACTACGGCAAACAACCAACATAGACAATTTTTAATAAATTAACATAATTAACATAATAATATAAGCTTGATAAACAAGTGTTCCCCATCTAATTCTACAAACCACAAATACACTTAATCGATCCTCGTCTAAATCTAGTTGCTTATGCTTGAAGAACAAAGGAGATCTGATCTTTTGATAAATAAATAATAATAAAAAAAAAACCGAAATTCAAGTCAAAATAAAACGCCTCAAAATAAAGAGAGGGGGGAGAGAGAGAGTACCTCACCGATCTGAATCTGTGAATCTCTGAATTCAAGTCAAAAATTCTCTTTCACTGAGACCGAGCTGAATCTGTGAATCTCTAAATCACAGAGCTGAACTGATAGAGATAACTAGGGTTTAGACAGCAGAGAGAGAAAGAGAGAGAGAGAGAGAGAGAGAGAGAGAGAGAGAGGGGAGAAAGAGAGTACCTCACCGATCTGAATCGATTTTGAGAGAGAACTTTGAAATGCCTCTGACTTCAATTTTGGACGATCTTAGACAGCGCAGAGAGAGCGCAAAAGTGAGAGTGAGAGCGCGAGAGTGAGATTTTCGCTTATACTTGCTTTAGTAGATTCAAAATAAAGGTGAAACGAGAGAGGAGCAGGGTGCTGGGAAGAAACCATTCCAAGGCGTTTAAAAACGTCTTTGATTCTTAAAACGGCGCCGTTTTAATTACAAAAATATAAGACGTTTATAAAACGCCGTTGAATATTAGAAACAATGGCGTTTTAAAAAACGCCGTTAAAAAAACGCCACCAAACCCCATAGAGTGGTAGAGGTTTTTGGGAAGAAACTTTTTTGACATTTTTTAGTTAAAATAGTACTAAAAGATAAAATAGGTTAAAATAGTCAACAAGATTAAGGTCTTGTTTGGTATATATTAAAAAAGTCAAAAAACCAAAAAGCCATTATCATATTCAAGTCATATCACCTCTCTATCACATCACTTAAAACCCAACCCATACCCAACTCATATTTCATAAAAAGTCAAAAAGTGTACTTATTTAGAACATCCCAAACTACTTCAAATGTCACATTAAACCTATAATCATTTTTTTTTTCATAAACATCACATCCAACTACAAAAAATTTAATTTTCTTCCTAAACACAAAAATTTTAGCCTCCAAAAATAATCAAAATTTAAAATAACTTACTAAAATAACAACTTCTCAAACACCCGCAATATGAATTATTTAAATTACTCAGGTTAGCTTGGACTAACCCACAAAATGGAAATTGGACATTGGACGGTCTAAGTCAATTTATATATATATATATATATATATATGAGTATATGGCGAAGAAGAAAAGCAGATAAGCGGTAACCACTTGCCTAGAAGCTAAAAACAAGCAAGCCATCACGGCATCCTCACCATAAGGAACCCAAATGCAATTGCAACTACAGCTCATCATCATGCTACCACTCACAGTAGTGGTGGTAGAATTGTCATCATCAACAACAGCAACAATTGCAGCACCAACAAAAGAATATTTAAAGAATCGCGGTTGCGTCAACCGTTGTGGGAATTTAAACATCTCATACCCATTTGGCGTGAAAAAGAATTGTTATCGCAATGAAAATTTCTTCATTAATTGTAGTGATTCCCAACCCAACCGTATTTATGGCATAGCAATATCATTGTTACAAATATATCGCTTGAGGGTGAGCTACGCATCATGAATTTCATATCAAATGATTGTTATGACCAGGATGGTACACCATCAAACAACAGCTTTACTTCATCGCTCTTCTTGGTCAAGTTCTCTATTTCTTGTACCAAGAACAAGTTCACTGTTATTGGTTGTGACACATATGCGTATCTCCAAATTTATAAAAACTTGAGTTCCGATTTTGCAATTGGGTGTGTGTCAACATGTACCGACATCGACTACATTCCTAATGGAATTTGCTCTGGAATTGGTTGCTGCCAGACCTCCATCCCAAAAGGTTTCGGCCAGATCAACATTACTGCGGGTAGCTACGATAATCATACAAATGTATGGAACTTCAACCCCTGCAGCTATGCCTTTGTTGTTGAAGAAGGTGTGTTTAATTTCTCCACAACTTACCTTCAAGAATTTAAATCAGAAGAGCTGCCCATGGTGCTTTGATTGGGGAATAAGGGACAGTGAGAAATGCGAAGAAGCTAAAAAAAATTCTAAAAGTTATGCATGTGGAAAAAATAGCAGTTGTCATAACATAGATGTTGTTGGGTATGTCTGCAAGTGCTTGTCTGGTTACAAAGGGAACCCCTACCTCTCAGATGGTTGCCAAGGTCCGTATACTATTCATTACCTATATATAGTTTCATTCATCATGTTTGGTTTCAATTCATAATTCATTTGATTTTGATTCTGTGCGGGGAAATCCCACATCGGTCTGTGAGGGACTACTTTCTCACCTTATAAGCAGACTGGCTCCTCTCCCTAGCATAGGCCTTTTCCTCCAATAGGGGAGGAACAAAACTGTGAGGCAGGTTTACGCCAAAGCGAACAATATGTGTCAGGCTAGGGACCGGTGGCTTCATTTGGCACCGTCTGTGGGAACTCCCTCCGACACTTGGCTGATTTATG